TTCTGACTCCCGTTTGACATAGTACACTGGGATGTGAACACATAAAAAAGAAATATTTTCACTCTGCCTGACAAAAAAAAAAAGTTTTAAATTACTGCTAGTTGGCTTGTAATAATGAAATGATGAGTCTGTTAAAACCTTGTGGGTGTGTCTGATTAGGTTGTCCTCTGCACTGAATGCTTTCACTATCCAGAATTGTCTGACATCTACGTATCTCAGTGGGTTCCTGAAAACTTAGAGAATAGCTTAGAAAAAACGCAATCATGCCTCATATAGGAGAGGAACTTCTTTTCATTATGAAATACTGGTGTATCATGCAGTTGAAATGGATTTAACAAGCACAAATTCAGCATGAAATGGAACAACATACTTTTCTGGCAAAGAATTCTAGGGTAGGACAGCAAAATTCAGCAGACTTTCTACTGCAGCAGGAATCTTCTGCTAGCCTTACACCAGCCCTAAAAAACAGCCAAGCCTGCTTGATTTTATCAGGGTTTGTAATATGGGTGAAGAAAACTGGAAGCTGAGCTTCCCAAAGACTGCAGCATTAACCCACTGGCCAGCTGTGTACAGAAGCATTTGAGGGTTCACTAAATGCCTTCCCTAACTGGTACAGCAGGCACTACACCTCCCTTACCCCCTAGCATTAGAAGAGCCTAAATAACAATTGTTCACACAAATGACAATATCTGAGCTTTTAAAGAATTCCTCTTCTGCATTAGGATGAAAATATTTCATGTTCTTAGATTTTTTTAATACACATATTTGTCCAGATGACTTTCTCAGACAGCCAGATATTTTGTCCTGTGGATACCTGTATCCACATTTATCCTGAACTCTCCAGTGACAGCACCTGGCTTCATTCCTCTCAGAAACCTGAAACCAGTGTTTCCACCAGCAGCTCAGCCCCTGAAGTCCTGTAAATTTGAGGCCACATCCCTCCTTCAGGTAAGAGAAATCAAAATCAGGGGAGCAAGCTCTGCTAACACCAAGCTCTCCCCAGGATCAGCTTGTGAACTCTGTAGCACAGTTCACCAGAGGCAAATAGAGTTGAATTCCATCTGCTCCATGGCTTGCTGGAGTCCCTCTGCAGTGTTACTCACTAGTTAGTTATCTAAGTGCCACATGTGGCAGTGGAAAACAAAGCAGGAAAAGACAGCTGATAGCTATTACCAGTATGTAGAGCTACTGGTACTAAGAGGTGGCTTGGAAAATTTCTTAAGCTCAAAGACAGAGTGGTTATCAAGAGCTTAGGAAATACCCTCTGAATGCTGGAGAAATCAAGTATTCAGCAGTAAAGTACTGTGCCTGTTTAAAGCCAGGACACCCTGATCCAATTTATGTTGCAAGATTAAATTCCTTGCGGACTTTGATGCCTTTCTGGAAGATGTGCTTTCATCAGCTGTTACTGGGCTTGCTCCCAGGCTGTATGTGAAATGGGATGATGTGTTTGGACTGCTGGACAAACTGGTGATGTGACTGTTTGCTCTGGTCTTAATCTACTGCTTCCATAGCTTAAATTCTTTACTAGGAGGAATGGAAAATGTAAATATGATTTCATGGTAGCTGAAAACTGTATTTTTTTTTTAAGGAATAATATGTAGTGAAAGTCTCGTGAAAATACATGCCTTAAAGAATGTTCATTTTCTCTCATGAATGTTGCTTTATATAGCAGAGGTGAGATTTGGGGTTGCCTTTTTATGTTTTTGTCTAGTTTAAAGAAAAATAACAAACCCTTTCATCACTGCTCTTATGATCATCGTTTTCACCACCCTAAGACTTTGAAAGCTGCTCACCACCCCTCCTTACAAATCTGGTGCTACAAATCAGCTGTTAATCATTTTCTGTCCTACCTCTATCTCTGGCATAAAAACAGCACATTAAAAACCAAACATTTTGGACTCCATGAACAATATGACCTTCAGTTTTCTTCAAGAAGAGATAACTGGAATTTGACACTTAGACCTTTTTGTATGGTGCTCCAAATCTGCTGTCATCCTGTAGGGATCTTGAGATGGTTTGCTGTTTTTTGCTTGCACCAAGCTCTTCTTCGCTATTGAAGTTTCTGAAGCATCTCCTCCACAGTCAGTACTTAATTCCTAGAAGATCAATTGTGATAGCTTCCTGCCCTCAGCCCAGATACACTTTCCCAAGAGATGCTTTTCCTCCTTAATTATGCTGAATTATGCTGAAGTTGCCAATGTTACATTAAGTACCTACAAACAACACAGTGATCCTTACATGTAAGGAAAAAAAAAAAAAAAAAAGGTGTGATCTGGCCTTCATGTGTCTGAATCCAACCTCCTACTTGTCTTCCCTAGGAACAAGTTGCTGATAATAAATTCTGCTTGTGAAAAGGTATTGGGAAATGGGAAGAATTGTTCTTCCCCTCTCTTTCTGTCCTATCTCTAGAGCAGAGACAGAAAGGCCCGACTGCTGCAGGGACTGCTATTTGCATTAATTTTGTTTTCATATACTAGTGGATAAATACTTCCCTCTGCAGGAAACTTGAGGCTGGTAGCAGCCACAGCCTCTGGCAGTATAGACAAAAAAATGCTTAAAGCCCAAAGTGGGATTCTATGGAAGATACTTGTGTTCTTATTCTACTCACCTTCAAGCAGTACATAAGATTTTTTTCCATTCCCATGTTCAGCTATTTGCATTTTAGAATTCTAAAAAAATTTGCCCTTGTTTGACAGTGGTTGCATTGTTAAATGTTTCTCCATGGTATTTGTGCAGCATCTGTATTTTTGGAAAAGGCCTGTCCCATCTGGGTCCCACATGTGTGCTGCCATTCCTGATAGCAGGTACCATTCTGGTGGCTTGAGCACTGTTTTCATGGCAGCATGAGCCTGGCTCCTGAGGAGGTTGTTACTGATAGTCTGTGACTAAGCCATTTTACTCTTTCTGTCCCTAAAAGTTTAGTCACAGATAACTTGGAACAATTTCTAGCCATGGGGCCTCCTTATAGGTATGGTGAGCAAGTGGATGGTGAAGAAATGAGCTCTCAAGGACTGCTATAAGCCTTCCCCTTTCCTGGCTGTCTGGGGCTTGCCCAGGCTCTAGCTGCAGGGAAGTTGTATTTAAGACTGCTGGATAATTACCTGTTTTCTTTCCTCTGGTTGTCCACCAAGTTGGACACTAAACAGTGTGACAAGATGATAAACTGATCATTCTTTGTTATATGTGGCAACTGCTGTCAAGAAATTTGCTGGAAGAGAGGACTTAGAACAACTGACTTCGTGGGGATTGCTTTTACCTCAAGAATATGCATTAACCCAGTATCTTCCAGGTGACTTGCTCTTTAATGTTGCTTTACTGCTTCTTTCCCATGAAAAAAACACAGTAGTAATAACAGAGGGAGGAGGAAAAAACAAAAATAAGGCAAATAGATTAAAATGGTAACTGTAATAAGAACCTCCTTTTCTTATTAAGGGCAAATTTTTGATGCAGTGAGTGTAGCCCAAAGTAACAGAACTTTGCTTCACTGAAGTCAGTGACTTCTACTTTCAGAGGGACTTTTAGTTTCTATAACAGTTACAGAACAGGGTCATACACTAATTTACTTTTTACATTATACAAAATTAATGTTTGGGAAAAAAAAAAAAAGCAACACTGTGTTCTGTCACAACCTTTTTAGAAGAAATACATGGTGGTTTATTGTCCAAAAGTTAATAAGCTCCAGTGTGATTTTTGTAAGCATGAAAAATGTTTGCAATTTTGCACACCGATAAGAGATTTCTAATGATGTATTCTACATAAACTTCAAAAAGCCTGAATTACAGCAACTGTGTGCTACTGCCATCTCAGCTGCTTATTCCTTATACCACTGTTCTTAGACAAAATCTGCCTGAGGGTTGTATTTGGCTGGCATCAACCTAGTACTCATTACACCCAAATACTTGATAATGGTGTAATACTGTCATAGATGTTGGGAATATTAAACATAATTGTCAAAATACACACTCATATTAATAATGATGGGATTTGCTAGTCTGTAGCAAAACTGTTTGTTGGTTTTTTGCCTCAGAAATCTTTTTTTGCCTTAGAAATCTGATCGAGAAGGATGTTACACACCTGAAAAATGCAATCCCCTGGCTTTCTACAGTACTGGGCAGTACCTCCTTTAGTTCACTGAGGTACTTTCGTTTGCAGCTCTTCTTCTGGTATTAACTGTAATATTATGCAACCTTTGTGCACCTTGGCCCATAGTGCCCATAATTAGCTAACAACACCAGTTTTTCCTAGGTTTCCTTGGTTCAGATTTCCATCAGAAATGCAAAAACCTAAATCTTCACCAAGACACTTGAAAAATAAAATGAGGCCAATTTCAGCAGTAGTAGTAGTCTGTAGTCTAGAAGTTTCAGGCTGCCAGGAAAGTAGTTTTAAATTACCAACCCTGTGTCTTGCCAGCATTATACTGTATCATATACGAACTCAAACACTGATTTTTGTCTTGGCCTTAGGAACCACTTGGTTTTAACATGATTAAACAAGTTCCCTGTTCCCTTTCTTCATGTGTTTTCTAGGAAATCCTTATCTTTTAACAACTTTCACATGCAATAAAAGCTAATCAACTAACTTGCTTTTCCAGAATTACTTTTCTTTTTTAGACTTCACTCAGCCTTCACTTAATCACCCTTCCTTTTGTTCAGGAAAGCACTGGAGCCTCTGGCCAAAGCTTATTATTGAAGAAAGCAAAGTGAATCCTGCAAAGTAAGTTTGTGATGGTACAATGTCTAAAATAATTATTTATTTTTCTTTTACACACACCAAATATGAACAGCATAAATTTAATATAAATGCTAATTCATGTACAGAAGTCAAACACATTATTTCAACATTAGAAATTGCAACATGTAAAAGAATTATTATGTAGCTAATATCAAATAAAATGAAACTGCTATAACTGCACCTAAATTAACAGCAAAAAGGACAATTTAATATGGTGATGAAATACACTGAACCAAAATACATAGTGGACCACAACTGTTGATTGATTTAATAAAAATTATTCAACTTTAAATCTATCCATTGCATTGTTTTCTGTCTACATAATACTCCTTTCTGACAAACAATTTCCAGATACAACAGCTTACAAACAGTATTTGCATAGGTGAGGCCTTTAGATATTTTAACCACCTGGATCATTCCTTGTCAATGAACTGAAACTGTCTAAAATTCCAAAAATCAGAATGGCCTACAGTATTAGTTTCATATCGTTAAAAAGGTTAAAAAAAGGTTGTTATTGTTTTGTCATTGAATAAATAAAGCACTTGACTGAGAAATGCCAAATAGTCACAATAAATATAAAGATGGCTCACTCAAAATGAATTACATATATCTGATTTTAAAAATCAAAAACTATTTTCAGTTTAATGCTAAACAATGTTTTTCTAAGAGGAACATGGCCTGATTGCAAAGTGAGCAAGCTGCTGTTCCACATGGCTACCACAGGCAAACACAAGTGCTGGTTTCAAGGGAGAGCCTGGATAAAAGTAAGGCCTCTATGAATATGAAAGCACACGTGTCCCAGCAGAGAGGTGCTAACGAGGAAATACAACCTAGTGAGCTCTACATAATAATACATATAATCTGTATCAAGATTTATTTTTTCTTTGCCTGTTTTTGTCTCCAAGAATTAACTAAGGTACTGAACCTCAGTGTTATGACTACAGCAATGTAGCCTGATGGTGCACTGATGTAAAGTCCTTCAAAATACAAGTTTTCCATTAGTGTACTGCTGTATCAGAAGTAAAGATTTCATTGGACATGTTCTTCCTATAAAATTTTGCATCAAGTTAATGGAAACAAATTTGAGGATGGTATTTAAGTTCATTTTATGCATGTCTATGTATGAAAAAGCAAGGGTGCCAGAATGGTGTTTATTGTTTTGTTGGTGGGATTTTTTTTTTTTACTTTTAAGATTTATGACATACAACAGAAGCTGTTAAAATTCTGTGTGAAAATACAAGAGTAGGAATTGTGGCAAATTGTTTCAACACTAAATATAAATTACTGCTGTATAGACCATTGCAGGTAAGAAAAATCTTTTAAACAAATTGTCTTTTAAAACAAATTTAATCAAACTAACCGAAACAATTTAACATTCAATTTCACTAATCTTTAAATTGAAATGCTTAATACACACGCTTTGAAGAATTATTCATCAATAAACATGGAATGTGAATTTCCAGTAATTATGTATCAGTGGGGTGGTCTCTTTCCTTTCACAACAAGATCCAAAGCAATAAATTTCAAACTTCTCCTCTTCAGGGAAATTCAAACCAAGTAGGGTGTGCAGTTGACTGTAGAAAGAGACAAGGAGGGGGATGAAAGAGATTTTGATTTCAGCAAATATACTGCATTATCCATTTCAATACAGACTTAACTGTTAAGAAATTAAGATAATGCTATAACAAAAGCATTCACACTCTCATGCCAATGCTGCATTCTTCCCTGTCTTCTGCAGCACTAACACTAACTTTAATTAAGAAACTGTTTAGTCAACTGCTCAAAGGGTTTTTTCCTAAGAGCCTTACAGTTTTAAGAGGCCCCATTCTTCAGCACTGAACACATTTTCTCATCCTATTTATAATCACATACTTTTAACTGAATTTCATAATAATCTTTTTTGTTTCACTTTCACTGAATGCACAATATTAATGCAGACAACTCTAAAGTGCATATTAGGTTGATGCTCTAAACTGTATTAGCTACATATACATATCCTAGCAGCAGTCATAGTGCATATTTAACACTTTAGATCACTCTACACTCAACATGAGTCTACAGTCAAGTAAGCAGCAAGTTCTGCTTGATGTACACTGCATAAGCAAAACCCAACTTCTCTGTGATCATCAGTGGAGTAGAAAAAGCATGTTAATTACATCCTGGTTTGACTCTACAGAAGGCAGATAAGTTATTTCACAGAAAAATATAGGCCAACATTGTTGCATCTGCCTTACTTATTCTTCTCCAAGTTTCTTACATAGACCAAGATTTACAAATTTGTATTCCCTGCTCATTAGCAGCAGCCAAAAAAACTCTGAATCTTTGGGAAATATTCTGTGTGCCCAAAATTAGAAGCTTCTAGCAGTAAAGTCAACACAGAGCATGGATTTAATGCCATTTTCAAACTACCTTGTAAGCTTTCAAAAAACATTCTCACGCCACTCAAAAAAAAATACAAGAGGGAGGCCTCAGAAGTGACAAGTATACATACTTAAATTCATCCACAACAGCATATTCAAAATAAAGTCAGAGGAGAAAATAATCTCTTTTACATGAAACTGACTAGCTAAAACAATAGTCAAGTGTCCAGAGTAGTAAGAGCTCCCACTTCTGTACATAAACTGAAACCCAAGATGGAAAGGAAAGTAATTATGAAATGACTGAAAAATTACTCAGAGTCATTTTAAGAGTAAAAACCATAACCCGCCTCTGTGCTGCACAACCAACAAGAACATCACTGTGTGATCCATCAGCAGGGACAGGGCAGTAAAGGTATGGTCTCCTTTGGAAAAAAGCACAGAATCTCTACAAGCCTTCTTAGAGCTGTGTCTGTGAGTAATGTACAACTTCTCTAACAGTGCAGCTAATACAGTCTGAGAGGGCAAAAAACCACAGTGAACAATCCTGAGAGGCCTACTCACCTTTACTATCCCACCATGCTGCATTCAGGGACAGCAATGTTATATATGCTTGCTCAGGGGCTGTAAGAAAAAACATTATGTGTAACTCCTCTGATAAATATTTCAGACTGCTAAATTCATACTTGTTTAAAAAACTACTTTTTATATATATACTACATTCTGAGCCTTTCCAGAGCTCACTAAAAACCCCCAAACCGTGAATTATCACTTATCACCTGTATTTGCTAAACAAAGCCAGCAACTTCTGTATTTTTTTCAAACGTCTTAGAATTTGTGGCTGTTGATTGCTCCAAGAGCAATATAAATAATTTTGATAAAGCGAACTAAAAGGCAATGTTTAAGTAAAGATAATTCCTACAATAAACATGAAATCCATCTCACTTGACCTTTAGGTTTGATGTCCAAAATCTAGAAAAGCAATCTGCAGATACATTTGTTCTGAGATACAGATGCTAAATACAGACTCTTGGACTAGGTTATAAAAGTTTTATATGTGACTTGTAAATTGCTACTGCATGCAGTATTTAAGATATTTAAACAAGTGAATTCACAGTAATAAGATACAATGCATGTTCCACCTATTTAAGTACCATTTACTATAAAACTCATATGGAGAACTGGAAGGAAGCTATTATTTATGTGCTATAGTTAGTTAATAAAAGGCTTTTTCTTGAAGATTTATATGTATATTTTTCTTATAAATAGTTTAAAATACTCTCTTCTACCTAGAAAAATAATTTCATAAATTGTGTCTCAGGGAGATATAACAGGAAATAGCATGTGTGAAAGTGCAAAGAACACCCTAGAGTGGAATACCCATTTAAAACTTGGCAGATACCTGAAAATGGAAACTTTACTGAAACTTCTCCCATTTTTCCCCATCACCCTTAAGTTAAACTCAGTAGGGAGAGAATTTCCCAGGACTCAGCCTTTGCTATAGAGAGTGTTATCTTAAGGACTAGAAATAGGTTCTGACATGTTCTGGTATTTCCTTAAACCAGTGGAATTCCACCAGCAGCAAGTGAAAACAAACCAACCAAACAAACAAAAAATAGTTTTCAGAAGAAGGCACTGCTTTTCCAGGCTTCAGATGTTTACTCTTACTAAAGAAAGGGACGTGGGAGTTCTCCAACAATTCAGAGCGTATCGGTGCAATTTCACATTTTCTTCTGCCTGTACTTTGAAGACATGTGGACGAGTCAGTTTGATTCCATAAGCTACAAACCTACATTACCAATGCAAAGGATCTCAATGATAACCACACCTCCTATTTCAGGATTGACACTGCACTAGGACTGCTTCTGGACCACAGGTGGAATATCAAGTGTGTGCTAATCATACAACTATAGAGTCTCTGAACTGGAGCTTCTCACATTTAGCCAGCCTCCAGCACAGACAAGAGTAGGAAGCCTTGCAAGTTTTTCTAACTGGATGCCACATTTAACAGCCCAGCACAATTTTGCAACTGACATTAACGTGTTGCATAACTTCTGATGGAACAGACTTATTTGTGCAGAAATGTGACTCAAATTAATGGTAGAGGTATTAATTCTTCCACAGGACACTCAGGTGTTTCCCTATTCTGCTCCCCATCCCCCAACAACGTTCACCTGAAATTTCAACATGTAGCTCTGCTCCCCTTCTCACAAATGGACACCCATGTAATTTTCACACATATAGCCAAGCCTGTTTTCATTCCCTTGATTTGTTGCTGATTTATCTAGTAGCGTAAAAATACAGCTTATTAATCTTTCCATGACAGCAGTTTTCTGTTTTCTATGAACCATCATTTTCAAAATATTCAGGTGACACCAAGTGGTTAGTTGTTGTATTGCTGTCTGCTCAGGACTGGTGTGTAGCACTATTATATAGATTTGTGTAAAAACCAAGTATTCTGTAATGTGTGAAAGTAAATACAGAAATAGATATTAAAAAAAAAGAAGCCAGAATGCCTTGAGATTATTAATCAAAGAAGCCCTTTCTCATTTACTTACCTAAGAGGAGATACATGCTTCAAAAAGAAAAAAAAAAAAAAAATCAGCAAAACCCAAACTGTACACATCAAAAATTAAATGGCCAAAAAATGAGGTTCCTGTAAGAGAAGTCACTTACCAGAAGGAATGAGTCCCTATGACATCTTTGTATACTCATGTTTATAAGAAGCTGCTTCCAATAAGCACACTCAAGACTTTTCTCAAATCACTGCTAGTTATCAAAATACTCCAAACAGAGCAAAACCCCAAACCCCAAAGAGAAATCAAAACCTGTACATCCATCAGCAGCATCAGCATCATCCAACATGTCAAACCACGCATCACTTCCATGAGAAGGAAGGATTCTGTCACATCTAGAAACTCTCCTTTACTTGCAGGTATTCCTTTCAACACAGAATATACACTAAACTAGAACAGAAACAACTTCTTTACATTAGATAGGGAAAAGAAATTGTACTTTTAGACTCCTTAGGGGTATGCATCACAAGAATGCCAACATCAAAAAAGGGGCTTTTAATCAATATGAAAGATGCGTTATCTTTCAAAAGTCAGCCATGTATGTTTGCTTCAAATCAGGGCTTTCTATGCTCTTTGCAGGCCCAAATCCTCACAAAGCAGAATGCACAGAGGCCATCAAAAGAAAAAAAAACAAAAAGTGTTATTCAAAGATAAAATGATAGCATTACTAGCAATAGGCCATTAGGTAGACAGCTGTCAAAAAAAAAACCTGGTATCTGAGAATTCTGCTAAATACCACTTCACGTTTTAACTGTGATTGTGTGGCAAAAAGCTTTAGAATACTATTATTTTAAATCCACTTTAAAACCTTTTCCCTATAGCACTTGTAATTATAACTGAGGAGATAAAAATCTCAACACATACTTTCTTCATTTTTTTTTAAATAGTCTGCAGTCAGGATTTGCCCACAGCTGTGAATAATCACTCTTAATCTAACTTTAATTGTTCCCTTGATTCTTTCCCAGAGAAGTATGAAAGACAAAATAAGTACCAAAAGAAGCAAACTCGGCAGGTATACATGGTCAAGCACAAAACCTGCAACTGTCTTTATTCTTCTTTTAAGGAGAGCCTCACATTACTATTTGGAGTTTAGTACCCTTTGTATCTTTTGTGTTCAGGATTTGCATGGGTTATAAAGTGTGGCCCTAATTTTCCTAGCAAGAAAAAATGGCAACAGACACTCAACTAGTCAAATGCTGTGCATACAAAACCAGGCACAGATACTTAGCCATTTATTATTCAAAATCACTTTGGCCATCTGAAAGCATCACCTTCTGGAGGTGGCCCACTAAGGTAAAACAAGCACACCACTGCTGAAGTGGAGACAATGTATAAGGCTTTGTACTTCAGAGGTTCTTTTTCCTCTAAGACCTCCTGGCCACGCCAAATCCAAGCCCAAGAAGAAAAAGCATTTTAGACATGCATTGCAAAAAAAAAAGGCATCATAGTCAAGCCTGAAGTAAGTCTGCTATGAACCCATCCAGAGGAAAAGAATCTCACCACAGCCTGCCTACATCTCAAGAGACTTGCAGAACAAGTGCTAAGTAGCAGTATTAGGAAGAATGGCAACACTATTTTAACAGTGTACTGCAATCACTTTTCCAATTCACCAAAATTAGAACAACTGAGGGAAAAAACCCAACCAAACAAAAAAAACCATCCCAACACCCCACCTCCATAATTTTATAATATACAAACTTTCCTCTTCTAGAAGTTGCATTCTGATTTTAAAAAATGCAACATACATAAATAAAGATGCTAGAACACAGACTTTCAACTAAATTTTCAGCACCGTAATCATGTCACAGATGACCTTGAACCTCAGTTACTTGTATGTCATCTAATTCTTCCTTATACATCATTCCAGTCTTTATATGTATATCACTTCCAGATAAATGTAAGCAAAAACGACCCTCGCATTGGACTGTTTAGATATTTACAGTGTCTTCAGTGCTCTCATCTAATGGTCCAGACTCAACTGACACAAAGACCAAATCTCCTGTAGACGCCTTTACACTTCACATAAAATTCACATGTGCACCAAGATATGAATACCAAGAACAATTTAAAAGTAAATTTTCTAGCTTCAGTTCTTCAGATATATTCAAAAATGTTTATGCTTACCTAGATGTAAAAGTGTGAACTGTGCTGCCAATTCCTTTGCATCTTCTACCGTTGTACAGAGTTTTTCTGGCATGAAATAAGTCTGGGAATCATCTGCAATACTAGAAATAAGCACCTTGTACACCAAGAGTATTTTCCCATCCTGACTTGTGGTTGAATACAAGCAATATTCTGGTGGTGCCCAGCTATTTTTATGGCAAAAATAATCCAGATGCATTACTGCAGAACTGAAGTGATTCAGCTTTAAAGAATACATGCTAATTGGAGTAAGCTTTATTCCTGGAAAAAGTGGGTATGTACTTCTTTCAACTTCAGGGGGGGCTGGACTGTGCTGACCATTAAGACGAATTGAAAGACTTGCTGGTTTCCCCAAGGATTTTTGACTACCATCTTCTTTGTTAGGAAACCCTAAGAGATTTTCAGAACTGGGACTAATCTGACCATTAAAATGTTGCTTCCAAGAGCTTTCTTTGTTAACAGGCTTTGCCAGTGTTACCTCAATACTGGCTCCATCAATGCACTTTCCGTTCATTACGGACATAGCAGCAACTGCATCTTCACGGTGGAAAAAATGAACAAAAGCATAGTCTCTCAACTTCTTTACACGTTCAACTACTCCTGGTTTGAACTTGTTGAATTCAGCTTTAATTTTGTCCTCTGTAGTAGATATCATTAAATTTCTCACATACAATACTTTAACTCTCTGCATAGTTTCTTCATCAACTACTTTCTCAGGATCTGCCCAGTCCACTTGAATAGTATGACCCCAGGGCTGGAATGTTCCTACAGTAAAGAAGCATTATATAAATAAGAAACATGCAAAGGAAAGCAGAATCATTCTTATCATCTATCTCTAAAAAAAGCAAACATGATGCATACCACAAGAAATGGGTTTTGTTGCCTACATCTACTTAAGTAACTTGAAACTGTTAAAGTTAATGAGACTCTACAAAAATGACAAGTGTTCTGTTACCTTTGGGGTGATTAAGCACCTTAAGCTGCCAAAACAAAGACTTTGTGACATGCACATACACACACACAAAAAGGAGACCAAAAGTAATGTATTTTAGTTAAATACTAAACACAGCTTCTTCAATAATATTACCACTTTAAAAGCATGGGCAATACCTGAAAATAGTAAACTAAATGTGTATCTCTAGCACAAGCATTACTCTATGTTGCAGCAGATGCTAGAACCAAAACTAGAAGAAACGAAACCAAACCTGCTTTGTTACTCATGTCAACCGATCATTTTGCATGTCATACAAATCATACTATTTTCCATTCAGTGATCTGGATATTCCTCCCAACACTTTCTATATATGCTATATACACATACATACACTTACATACAAATATTTATATACCTACACATATACATACATATATATGTAAAATGTACCCATTATATGTTGAATAGATTACATATTACCAGTATTATACTGATATTTATTATATTATTATATACTTGATATTTTGCATTTCGTATATTGTATATACTTTTTCATATTTATTTTAATTATTTCTTTCAAAATTATTTTCTAGTAAAATATTAAAGACCTATTTTTTGGTATTCTTAAATATGAAACATTCATATATTTCATAGTGATGAAAATAACATCACTCATGACAACCCAGAGAAAATACATGACACATTCAAGACATTATCCTTTCTAAGCTCACTTTTAAGAGAATTTGAGTGCAGAGCCTCATGCATGTAAAGGAAAAATGAATGTATGCCCATGCAAATACATATTAGCATAAATAGCTAATCACATAAAACTGATGTCTATTTTTCAATTGTCAGAACTATTTAAATTATAGCTTCTTAAAATGTAAGTTAAAAAAAAACCCACAACAAAACATAAAAAATAAAATCATCCTTAGCCAAAAAGCCATACCGCACTTTTGTTAACTCTCAAAACACCTGAAGAATGGAAAACAGCTCCACCAGCTCATCCCCCCACAGTATGGAAATAGATACTCTACATAAAAACTCAGTTTAATTACAAACAGTTTTACCTGGGATAAGTCGTCTTCTAGCCATTGCAGCTGCTCTGTGAGATTCATATTCTACAAAGGCAAAGCCACGATTCTTAGTTTTGTCAGTGGCATTTGGATAAACAATGACATCTACCACTCCTTCTGTAACTTTTTTCATTTCATTCAGTATTTCTTCTTTCTTCTTATCTTTAGGAATTGCTCCAATAAACAGTCTGCAGTTGTCCAAGCTTACGCAGACACCAATAAACTTCCCTGGACGTATTTCATAATTATTAAGAATCTTGATGGCCAGCTGGGCTTCCTCTTTAGTGGTGTACATCACGAAAGCATAGCCTCGGTTCTCACCACTGAATTCCATCATCAGTCTGAGCTCATAGATCTTCCCAGCCCTCTCGAAAACAGGAACTAGTTCATCTTCATACATATCACGAGGAATCTTACCCACAAAAACTTCACATCCACGAGGTGGTGGAGGACCTTCCCAACCTTAAAATAAATTGTCCAACAACAATCTTAGTACAAATGCACATTTCCCCCACATCCAATTCAAATGTGGGAGTTATTTAATTTTCGTCTCAACTGAAAACCAACACATTCTCTTCTATTATGTCTTATTTCTTTTATGTTTAAATAAAAAATAAGAAAAAAAAGCCAGAAATCCAAAGTTTGCATTTCTTTCAATTCCATCTTCTGGGCTTTTTTCCAATGAAATCTGTATGACAACACACTGAACCTGATTATCAAAAACACTAACAGGTTTACCAAGAGTCTCTATCTCAATCATTTTATACTCCTTACAATTTTATTTCAGTCATTAATAAAAACTGATGTACCTAAGAAAGAACTAGGGAAGAACTTCAGTTTTATTTTCTACTACAATGGTTTACAGTTACAAAATGTTTCTCTACATATCTTGCCCATGCTTTTATAACTTTTGGTAAGGGTTCCCAGTGCAGCACTTTTTTTTCTGCCTTGACATTATTCAGTAAGTCTAAACATTCTGCTTCCACTTTCATTCATCCAATAAAACAGGACTTCCTAAGGAAAGTAGGATACAAAGCCGAACTTTCTGCAACAGCCAAAATGATGGAACGCTTTTACTCTAAAAACAGATTGCAGTTTTCACAGGCAGTAGTGGATGGCAGGAAAAAAAAAGAAGTAAAAAAAAATCCACAGAACAAGTCAGTCTTTGGTTGACATCTGAAAGCTGCAGCACATCTATGCTTCTCTCCTTAAGCCAAGGACATTGAAACATTCTTTTGTATCTCTGCCATATATACTGAAAGATATGCTCAACAGATAATGTAAAGGTGTATCTATGCATTTAATATTATGGAGTTACGGTTTTCAAATACAGTATTCCATTCTCCCAAAATAATAATTTAAAAAAATAAGAAGTTTGTTTGGCTTTGTTTCTTTTTTTAAATTAGACAAAAAACTGAAGTAGAAGGTTCAAAGGCAGGCACTCAAATCATAATTAAAAGCTTTTTCTAAAGTTTTTCACAAAGATTTTCTACAGGAGAAAAAAGCAAGGAGTACCAAGATGGTAGAAAAAACTAACACAAAACTTAGTAAATACCAGTATGAAATGAAAAAGCATAAGGAGGTAAGGTGAAAAAATAATTACTCTTGACAAGTTAAGACATTTTAAAATGCAATTAAGTAATGTATGTTGAAGTCCAGAATAAATTATATTTAAATGATTTTGTAATTAACACTTTTTCCTTAATGTAGAGTCAGAGAGCTTGTAATTTACTCGTGAAAAAAATTACCAGAATTGAGAGATTTTTGCCTTCTCACAGAATTATTTTTCATCTATAAAGTACAGAGAGAATTACATGGCACACAGGGAAGCTACCAAGGCATCAGAATTGATATGCATTTGGAGTCACGCTGCTATGACTTACCTAGGAAAAAGCTTGGCTCTGTTCCGCACAGCATTTCACATTTTTATCATCTTCACCTCTACAAACATCTCTGACCCCTTCAGCTGAGGTCTGACTGGACATGGCAGCTAACACCATTTGCAGGCTAGTACTGCCATCACTCACATCCCACAAGTCCCTTCCCACATAAAAATAAACCAACTGTACACCATTTAGGAGCTCCAAAGACAAAGACCACTGCACACCTCAGTCAAGAAAAAATTGTGCAGGAGTCACAGAATTACATAACAATCTTTATTTATTAACTAGACAAACTTTTACCATCCTTCTCAGCCCAGTAACTGACTGAACAGTGATTCCCAGTAAGTAAAAGTGATTTACCACAAAATTTCCACCTTCTAATTTTAAAGCTGCATACTAACTCAGCAGTACAGCACACTACTGCCAACTGGAATGACCCTCTGACTTCTGACTTACAGAAAACTGGTCTGTACCACACTTGCCAAAGAGTGACATGTACTTAGCAGAGCAAACATGGGAAGTTAGTCAACATCACTCCACAAATAGCTGACCAGAGAGTTCCCTTGACTGGGTACTTGATTCACTGCTGGATGATAGAAAATGGGACACCTATTTTTGCAGCAGTTCAATCAACATAAGTCATAATTCCCCCCATTGTTGGTGTCCATGCCACTGTACAGATAGATTTTTCACAAGTGGTATACACTAAACAAGAACGGTACCAGGTAAAAACCTGTAATTTTTTAGGGCAATTTTCAGCCACATCTGCTGAGAACAGAGCCGACAGTAAGACTATCCTTTGAAAGCAACACAAGCTTATAAAAATCACATCTTAAGCGAAATTCGTAGTGAAACACTTCATTTATAAAGATATTGTAATTTCCTACAAGCCATCTCAAAAATTTAAGTCTCACCTAAAGTTTCCAACTTAAAAATAAAATGCATTTTCAATGTCCTATGAAAATACATGAAGATTTGAAGGAAAGATATATACCTAATGTCAATGAACAGATTGATGGAAGAGAGACCTTTTGTCAAATCCATCTGGTTTCAGAATATACTAATAAAACTAGCTTTGCTAAACAAACAGACTTAACGTCTAATGTTCTAATAAAAAGACATTATTATGTAAAAGATGTATAATAATTTAAGAGATGGCTGAAGTTAGTGATGCCCTGCAGTTCTTTTTCCAGTTCCATTTTCAAAATAGCTTCACAGGGCTTCCTTTTGCTATTTTACATAAGCTTAGTAAAAGTATGGACAAAATTTAAGACAGAAATATTTCCAGAGAAATAATTTTGATGCAGCTTTACCTTAAACTACATATAGCAATGAGTAAATAAAGTTCATGCTTATGAGCAAAACTTATAAAGATCATAATATAAAAAATGGGATCACATGCCACAAGTGAGAATGAACTGAAATGGCAGCACAAAGAATCTTCCTTTTTTCTGCTTGTCTAAGTGCATAATCTGATTCAGAAAGAAGAGTTACTGTATTCCATGTCATACAACCAGGCTTAGTAGCAAAATTCTTGTACACTGCTGATGTCAACAACACTGGAAAAATAATTCAAAATAAAAGAAATATTTTATCATCAATACTGAAAACAAAATTACTTAATCTTCACTGGTGCCCTCTCAGAGAACCAAAGTTCATTAAAAAAAATGCTTTGGCCAATGCAAGGGGTAAGGAGTAAGAGAAGACACTAAGTAGGTTATGCCTGTATCACAGTTTTTCCCTTCTGCGTTCCTAAATGTTTTGAAGTGTGTTCTCAGTCATATGGAACACACTTGACTTTGTGAGCTCCACGTTTGTTCTGCTACCTGACAATTTTAGCTGGTTTTAAAGCTGTGATTTTTTAAGTCCACCAAAAGCAAATGTTCAACACAGTCTAGCTCAAGAGATCTTAAACTGCTACAAACTGTAAAACACATCAGGAACCTCCCCATAAATGTTGTGTTTCTTACACTGGTTCATTAAGCTTCTACTAGTGGTCACTGTCAAGATACATGAGACTACACCAACTTTCAGTCAAGAAATCTCAAAGGAAATGCTTACCTGGTGGAGGACCACCAAATTTTCTTTGCCCATTTTGCTGAACCATGCTGTATCCAGTCTTCTCCATCAGGGCAAGTAAAGCAGCCCCATTTTGAGCACCCCTTTGGATTTTGCCACATCCATTTGCTGCAGCTTTATTCTCCTCATGCATATCTGCAACAGCTTCAACAGAATATCACAAATATTCCAATTCAGCAAATTCTAAGTTATTATGTGCATATAGAAGCTACCAAAATACAGAAAAACCACTCAGGCTATACTTGCCTGTTTACCACAACTTTGTTTAGCATGAAGCTTCAATCCTACATCCAACCACTATCACCGATGTACTTGCTTTCAGACCACTGTTTCGTAGCTGGGATAATCTGGAACTTTACCCAGCAACTACATAATCTATATTCAAATTCTCTTAAGTGCTATCACAATGTAAGTAGCACAACTGTTTTTAAGAATGCTACCCTTCAAGTAGAATGAATTCTTTCATAAACCATGTCATCTCAGTTGTGTAAGGGACCAATAAGCTACTCAAGGTGACAAGTTCCATTTTCTTTTTACTACTATTTTATAAGAATACCAATTATTTCAAAATTGTATTTTAGTACTAAAATACTGGAGGAAACACCCGAAGTTCATGCTCAGTTACTATAAAGAACTCAAAGAATGCATGAACATAAATAATTTAATTAATACCAATATAAAACAAAATTAGGCAGAACTGTCTGGCAAAACTAAGGGTTTGAAATAATCCCACCTCTGGGATCCCTATTTTCATGGCTTTATCCATTTTTACAATTTCAAAAATTAAACCTTATTAATATAGTTGCTGCAGCCCTTCTATTTCTCTGGCATGCCCAGATCTCACTCAACAGCTTTAGGTTTTTGTCACCCAGGTGACAAATTACCAATTCTGGCGATTACCAATTTTACTAGTCAACCCACTAAAAAAAATCTCAAGTCAGAGGTTTCTTTCACTGCCTCTTTTTCCTTCTCCAATTTATTTACACTTTTCCCAAGATTTTCTGCCCTAAAGTCTGCTTAGGCAAGCAATTATTTTTCATCACTTCAATCCTTTGTTCAAAGAACATTTCCGAGTGCTATGCCACTTCTTCTCAAGAAATGCCACCCAAAAAATCATCACCAGAAAAATAAAGGTACCATTGTTTATTCTTCAGTGCCCCTTAGATTTTCAACTTTGTCTTCAGGCACAAGCTCCAAAAGACAATGTCCTGAGACATCAGCAGTTTACTTTTTATAAGAAAAACATTTAAAAACAGCTTAAAGTTCACACAAACATTTCCTGACAACCCACTATTATCTGCTGAACAAACCTAAAGTTTTAAAATATATTATAATCCAAATTTATGGAGCGAAGTTCCTGTTCCCTTACTACATTTATGGATGTTATGCAATTATATTACTATCCAGAGGTGGGGCTGCAGCTTATTCCTCCACTCCTGCCCCAGCTTCGTCATTTCAAATGTGTTTTGAATCAATGTAAATACTATTTCTAAGTGCACTTTTTTCACAATAGCCCTCACATGACATTCTAACAGACTCCACAAATCCTTTAATGAGAATAGTGTTAACTGTTCTCAAGAAGTTTAAATTGTATCTGCCACATGGCACTAAAAAGCCAAATTTTTAACAAAAATCCAGGCTTCATCAAACGGAGAAAAGCAGCAGGGCAGAGCACCAAAAAAAAAAACAACCAAAAAAACCAAAACAAAAAACAAAACAAAAAAAACCCCGAGCGAGACGAGTAGAAAGAGCATGGCTCCCACCTGCTAGAAATGGTGCCCCATCTCCTTTCAGCAAGTGAATTACACTTACTGTGTTTCACAGCCTTCGAGCTGCACAGAGATTCCGTAATTAAGAAATCTTTTGGCAGCTTCAGGCCTAACAAGGTATGGAGATGACAACGAAACTGGAGCGAGGGAGAGGCAAAATGATTTCCCCTTTGTCTCGGCGAGTCCCAACACCCGGCCCAGAACATCGTTATCCGTAAGGGCAGCAAGCGGGCACCTGACGGGCACCGCGGGAGCTCTAAGGAGGAGAGAAGGCCCTGAGACACAAGAGGCCCACGCAGGAAGGAGGCCAACCTCGGGCACGCGCCGGTCACAAACGCCACAGAAGCGAGGAGGCACGTGGGACAGTAAGGGAAGAGAATCAACTCAACATCCCCGGGAATCTCCCTGCGCTACTCCCGCCGACTCGCACATCTAGGCCCTTCTCTACACCGCTTCATCCCTCATCGCGCTGCCTCCGCCATTCCCCACAGCACGGCAAGGACCCGGACCCACCACTGTCCCCAGGCAGACGAGGCCACGACATGACTCCCCGCTGTCCCGTCGGGAGCCGAACGCCACCGAGCGCTGCGCGGCCGCCAGCGCTATCAGTGCCTCATGCGCCCGGCCCCGCGGCCACAGCTTTCCC